GTTCCTTCCTCCGAGCCTTCTCTAAAACTAGGTTGAAGTCATCTTTAGGTGTACTACGATACGGTTGAACTTAGATTTTTACGTGGAGCGACTGCAATCAGACCTCCGCAATCCAAGCACTAGGCGATATCGCAGTTCTACAGAAAATCTGTTGTTAGACTTTTTAGGCCTGCAACTATCCGTAACGATTGCCACAGAGGTTCGTATGGCAACCAGGACCCACGGCTCAACATGCTCTTCGAGGCATGGAGGGACTTCAATGTATTAAGAACGGTCACCCACCCATAGACTGACCTGGCTAGGATTGCTTAACTTTGCAATCTGTCAACGATTTTGTTAACTTTACGAGTAAAGCCAATAAAAACAGTAAAGTAAAATGATGTTTGTGTTCTACATCATTGATGATATTTAAACACAATTAACACGTAAAGAGACGAAAAAACCACTGTACTTACGACCTTTTATGCATTTAGTGGCAACGCTTGCCAACGCATGTGCACAAACCCGCAGCGTGTATAAGACGCATTCGAATGAACTTTGACCATCCGTTGTAAATTGAGCTTTAAAAATGGATTGTAAGACTCAAATTGTGTAAAAGTTTATGAAGATGTTATTCTGTTGCCCTGTTGAAAGGAATTGGTTTCAAATGTAGTAAACATCGTTGACGCAAACAGACACGCAATAAGTGGACGATATCAATAATAATTAAGCGGTAAATAATCACGTAAAAATCGCATAGAATTTAACAAGGATCTCTAATCTAACTAAACAACACTTAAAGTCTCCTGATTATATCCTATCCTGTCTGTTTTTGTTTTGTGCATAGAATCTAGCGAACTAGTGCAAACCTTGCAAATAACTGATCTAGAAGTGTAATGCTATGGAGCTTATAAAGCATTGTACTAATAATGGAAACCCATGGGGAACTAAGTATTTTAGGGGTGGCGAAACTATAATTGTGGTGATGGATTAAAGTCCGTGTGGTGACAGATTAAGAAAACTGAGTGTCACCACCGCTATTCATCCCGAGGGTGCCGTAAGAGCCGCCTAAGGAAGCAAACTACGCAGGACAACAGCACTGAAAGGGAAGAAAAACTTGACACAAGCCCTATACCAACGCGTTACCTTTCTAAGGAGAGGCTTGTACACAGCAGTGGACTATTAAAGGCTATTATTGATGATGATTATACTATAACATCGTTAATAAGCATTCAGTGCTCATCATTAAGATGGACATAAATTGTTGCATAAATGTCTTCAAAGAACGTTGCACGATATTTTCACCAATTATAAATCGATTTTATTCATCTACAATGGATGGTACTCAAGGTACAGATTAGTTATAGTAAGTTATATTTCACAAACAAGCTGCTGGTTGAAATCTTTATTCTACTCCTTTAAAATTCTCTAGTAAAAGTCTCTCGGAAACCAACTACCGTTATCAAATACTCCAGCTATTAGCTGAAGTTGGATTATTGCCAAATAACTCTGTCGTGTTTCATATTTACAAATTGAAATAGCTACGTCTATAAACGTGACATTAGGTGTTTACGACAAGTACAAAACAGCCGTTAAATACCTCACTTGTTCTGACTTCCGACCATTTTCATCATATTAGGAATTGAAGGCTTGAGCAGGCGGACACTACGAATATTTTGGCTGGATCAAAAACCAAAATTGATTGCAACAGAAGTTTCTGACTTCATATTACGACAATATTTTGTGACTCCGCCATTAATTGAATGGCGGAGTCACAAAATATTGTCAACAATATTATAGCAACAATTCTATTGCATTATAATAGTTGCGAGCTGGCAAGATACTCATAGTACGAGTACGTTAGTTTTTATGAATAAAAAGTCAAATTCTAATTATTTTCTATAACTATTCAGCACGCGTTTGAATAACAAGTAAAAGGAATAAATATTTCTATCTTAATACGAAATTCACGAAAAAGCTAAATCTTCTGGACCTACTGAGTATTTGAATCTGACAAAGATCAGCTAAGAGAATTGTAGTAATGACTATGCCAGTTGTGCTTAACTTAACTTTTTCGTTCATATTTATTATAAAAGTCTATACTTATTCATGATACTAATTTTAAGATATAATCGTGGTCTACTTTTAACCATGATTAGAGCTACTTATTGAAACGTTGGTTTACCAAAAGGGCATTGTACTTTTTAAGTGTTATCTTCACTTCAGTCCTTGTGGTGACGGATTAAGAATACAGAATGTCACCACCCCTATTCATCCCGTGGGTGTCGTAAAAGGCGACTAAGGGAGCAAACTACGCAGGACAATAGCACTGCAGAGAGAAGGAAAACTTGACACAAGGCCTATACCAACCCGTCTGGCCAGCGTGGTGTAGTAGGCCAAAACCTCCTTTCTAAGGAGAGGCCTATGTCCAGCAGTGGACTAGTAAAGGCTGTTGATGATGATGATGATGATCTTCAGTTAGCAACCAAGAAATCACTATGTTATCTCAAATAAAACTGCTTCCATAACTGGTGCTCAAAACTGATATCATGTTTATTATCAAAGAACGTACAGTGAAGAATTTCTGTACTTATAAAGTGTTTCCAGAAAAAGTAAAACAACTATTCATCTAAAAAACAGATATGTACATATAAGTTTTACGTATAAGTTACCCGTACAATAAAAAGAGTCACGTACCCACGAGACAACTTTGATATAATTTACGATGGTGTTATTTTCTGGTTGAGAGAAAATATCTTTTTTTGTATAATACTTGTATATTGTTGAAGTAGGTACATTAAACAAATGTAACAAAGGGATATGATACGAATTTTTCAGTAAATTTTCTAGATAACTTTTCTGATCCATGCACTTACTTATGTAAAAATCCAAAAAAGTTTCTATAAGTATGTGAAATCTATGGTTTAAAACTCATTTACATAATTATATCTCGTTGGCTGCAGCCATGGCTTCCTTGACCTGTCAAAAACTAACAAAAGATGCAGAAATCAATGTGGAACTATTTTACAAAATCATTACGTCACAATTTTGTTGTTAAAAACAAACTACAGTCACAGACTCATTAAGGTTACTTGAATACATAATGCCATTCATTCTTCTTAATATCTTATCTATACCAAGTTATTATAAAAACAATGTTTCTAATAATACAGCTATATTGCTAAGAGAAACTGCATTGCATTGATTTCATTTGCATGTTTTTTTCTAGCCCTTTGGTCACGGTTGCCGCAATTATAAAGTGACCATGAATTATACTGTTCTGTTATAGAAATTTGTAAGGCAATTATCTATAGATCTTGTACAATTTATTAAGAATAAAAATGAGGTTTATTGTTGTTAGATTTTTGAACCTTCTTTATTCTTTATTCTTTGTTTGTTGTTCGAAAATGCCCAACGAGCCGTTGGGCATTTTCGAACAACAAACAAAGAATGTATTTTATGGTTTAACCAAAAATACTATTTTTTGAGATGAGAAAAACCATTGAACTCGCGACACTTACCGTTACCGACACCTCTGTATAAAAATATAAATTTTCACTTCTGTGAGCACTATTTTTTTTTAAAGCCACTGTTTTTTTTAAAGACAACTCCCGCACTATGAATATATTATGTGTCGCGGGGGAGTTAACAAACATACATGAAACGGACACAAAGAACACCTTTTTTTTTTTTGTGCGGAAATCCCCTCGGATACCACCTGTCGGTGGCATGTCGGACTCGAACCGACTAAAACCGCACGCCGTCTCGGGTACTAATAGCCGGGGAACCAGGTATACCCTAGAAAGGAAGTCCCTGGTGCCCCGACATACCTCGGGCCATCTACAACAACAAGTAGACGACCCCCCCGTGTGGGAACCCCATGTTCCCTCTGCTCCCTGGAAGCGAGCGCGCTTCGCAACGCGCTGCTTCTGCTATGGTGACAGATGGCCTCACCTGTCACCCCCAGGCCTGCGCTTATGGAGGACGGAGGTCGTTCTGCGACCTCCGGCGCCTGAGTCGCCTGCGGTGCCTGGCCCGTTCCCGGGCCTGGCGGGCCGGGAGAGTCCTAAACCTCTCCCGGTCCCGCTCCGCCGTCTCCTTCGCGAGCATAGCTTGCTCGCAGAAGGAGACGGCAGAGTTCCACGCACTCTCGCTCCGCACGATAGCCGCAATCAGGCTATCGAGCGAGAAAACTCCCACTCCGATGGCCACCACGAGGTCTCGCCTCTGCTCAACCCACGCCGGGCACTCTGCCAGCGTGTGGAGAGCCGTGTGAGAGGGTCCCGTGACGCCTCTCGAGCCAATCCTCCATAACGGGTCTTACCGCCGCGATGACGGCGTGCCCGTAAAGACTCAGAACGACGATTTGTGGATGTGTCGCGCGGTTAAACTAATTACATGATATTACAAGATAATTATCTAAGAGCTAATAACAAGTTTTCACTTCTAGTTTTGAACTAAGAGAAGTTATTGTTAGCATATGCTTGCAACCCATATAGGTTATACAAATGAAAATAAAAAGCAGACAATAGGAAAAAACAAAATCACAAAGTACTTGAGTACTGAAAATGACAATGACTGAGTAATCGTTAAGACATTGTTACATTGTGCCTATTTGAAAAGAAAATTTGCCTTAGACGCCTTTTTGCCAAAGACACGCTAATCAAAAAGGGATTATCAATGTCATGCTGTTTACATAACTCATTAAAATTTAACAGTAAAATTAATTTTAGGTAATCTCTACAATCAATGAATAGGTGACTGCACAGACAACGTAGTGGTTTTAGCGGTTCTATTCCGCTGAGTGTAGTGGGTTCGATCCCCAAATGTGATCTACAAATTGTTGTTCTGAGTCTGGGTGTTCTTTATGTCCGTTTCATGTATGTTTGTAAGACTCCTGCGACACAGGATCATATTCCACCTGCGAGAGCTGTCTTTAAAAAAAGGTTCTAATTTTAAAATCACAAAAAAGAAAATTGCTTATGGTCAAATTCTGAATAAATTACAATGACGTGTTTCAGAAACTGAGCTGCGGGACATGGTGAAGGAAGTAGATCAAGATGGTAATGGCACCATCGAGTTCAACGAGTTCCTCCAAATGATGTCCAAGAAGATGCGTGGGGCTGATGGAGAAGACGAACTTAGAGAGGCTTTCAGGTACCCACTTAAAATAATACTGTTACTACACTTTAAGACGTTTATACAATACTCAATAATAGTCCTGAATGATCGCCGAGGTCGCAGGGTTACACTTATACGAGTATTCACTTCGATCGCAAATATTGTGTAATAAGCGCGATTGTACGTTCTGTGTTTGGATGTAATTTATATATTATATATTTAGAAATATATACGAGTATGTTTATATATGCGCTTAGTTGACGGCAAGTTGATGGCTTGTTACGTAACTGGGACCCATATTACATAAATGGGACCAAAGCTCTGTTACAGAGGAACGGTTATGTCCCTCCAACACAAACTGAGGATCCTCCGACCAGGCGAGGTGATCATGCCTGGCGGGCCGCGGCCCAATGGCTGATGTTGGGAAGTTATATATATTGGCGCAAGAATTGTTCATATTGCGATAAAGGATTAGCAGTTACTCCGTAGTTCGGTGCGCATTTGTTAGATGGCGTTGTATTATTTTTTTGTTTTACTGAATGTGGAAGTCAGGACACTGTATTAGTTGAAAAAATCTGGGCGTTTGATTCGCCCCTGTCTACCCCTTGGGAGATATAAAACGTGGGTATGTAGGTATATGTAATTTTCACTATCATACAGCCTTAATAACTGCATTGAACTTATTTTCGAGTGCGGCGTCATGAAATGGTGTGATAACAAAGAACTCGTTTACATTATTTAAAATAGTTTCGAATAGTCGAACACTAGTTAAAACCTCAGATAATTTTAATGTATTCAGTAACGCACTATGAATATATTATGTGTCGCGGGGGAGTTAACAAACATACATGAAACGGACACAAAGAACACCTTTTTTTTTCCGTGCGGAAATCCCCTCGGATACCACTTGTCGGTGGCATGTCGGACTCGAACCGACTAAAACCGCACGCCGTCTCGGGTACTAATAGCCGGGGAACCAGGTATACCCTAGAAAGGAAGTCCCTGGTGCCCCGACATACCTCGGGCCATCTACAACAACAGGTAGACGATCCCCCCGTGTCCTTCCTTCTCCTCCTCCTACCTTCTCCTATTCTGGGGAAAGACTCGCATGGCGGTAACGCACTTGTAACTCTTGAGCTGTAGGTATTTGGCTGCGGAAGTTACTTCCATCAAGTGACCCGTCTGATCGTTTGCCCTCCTATGACATAAAAATACTTACCGAAATCATTTCTAATAATTTTGAACAATGTTTCCAGGGTATTTGACAAGAACAACGATGGACTGATATCATCTGTTGAACTTCGCCATGTGATGACGAACCTAGGCGAGCGGCTGAGCGAGGAGGAAGTCGACGACATGATCCGCGAGGCGGACCTTGACGGCGACGGCATGGTCAACTACGACGGTCGGTTTAATCTTTCATTGTTTCATTGTTGCGTGATGTGCATTAAATAGCTGATACTATTTTCTAGTAATTTCTTCGCGTACATTAAAAGACATGTTTTTGCTAAGCTCAAATGGTTCTCTTTTCCTACCCTTTATAAAATTGTAGTGTTCCGTGTCCGTCCGTGTAGTGACGGACACCACACGGTAAGAGCCGACTATTGAAGCAAACTCTGTAGGACAACAGCACTGTAAGGAGAAGGAGAACTTGAAACAAACCTTATGCCAACACATCTGGCCAGCGTGATATAGAAGGCCTTTGTCCAGCAGTGGACTATTAAAGACTGTCGATGATGATAATAATAAAATTGTAAAATAAATGCAAGAGTGAAGAAAAACATCCTTCACTCTTGTAATTGATCTGAATTTATGCAACGAAACAAATGTTGAACCTAACTTGAAGTTACCAAAGCATGGTGATTCTTCAATAAGTCATTTTAACAAGCCATTCAAACAACAAATGGGTCACTGTAAAATCGATTTATTGATAGCCATGTGAATTAGCGTCATTTTATTATACCTTACTAAAATTAGAGAGCGTTAAAGAGCGCATTAAACCGCAATTCCAAATTATTTATTGTTGCATGTATTTAGTAATTGTGATTCGTAAAATTGATATTAGATTAGATAAAACGGGCCTGTTGGGCTAGTGATTATTGACCCTGACTGCTCACCCAAGACAAATAATTGTGTGATGAGGATGATAATGTGATCTGTGTCTGGGGTTAAAAAAAAATGTGTAAAAAAGACAAACACCGCACTCGGAATATAACTATCAAGACTTTACAAACACACATGAAATAAATACAAAGAAAACCCAGACTTAGAACGACAATTTGTGGATCACACAATGTGTCATCCCATGTACCTACAATACTCAGCGTAGTAGGAAGCGGCATGGCGACCGCTTTAACCACTAAGCCATTCGTGCTATGAAAATATGTTTATCAGCAGCTGGTTACCATAGCACCTATTTTACTATTATTTATCTTTTTTTTATAACAAAAAAAAATTGTACCCGGGCAAAGATAGGTAATATTAAATAATATTTTGTATGTCTATTGCAGAGTTCGTGACAATACTGACATCGAAAAACTAGTATGCACAGTCAAGGCCGAAGAGAGATGTTCCCGGAAGCCAGTGCCCCTATTCGTATTTAACAAAGTACGGGGGAAAAGAAACTTTAATCTAATTGAAATAAAGTTATAGACGTATTGACGTGAAATACTTTTATAGTAAGCGCTTGGTGGTAGTGTATACGTACCCTTGTTTTATTAGACGGTTAAAAAAATGTTGTGGCAATTATATTGTGGCAGAAAAATTGCAACTTCGATTTTTTTTTCATTACTGTAGTACTGATAAAGTCAGTGTGTTAGCTATTTCTTTTTTTATATCTGTGTGCGAAATAGAAATGCAGAGATGGACTAAATGGGCAGCTTGTGAATTAGTATAATATTAATATGCGTAAAAGCTACTTTGTATATGTATGCAGACTGAGAAAAAGCCTTTATGATCAAAAAGCGTCATCACTATATCACAGGAGTTTGAAAGATCATTGGAACAATCGCGTTTTTATTAAAAGCTGAATCATAAATGACATGTAAAGTTTTGTTAGTTTAAATGTAATCTGGATCAAAATGTGTCATCGGGTTCAAAAACTTGCTAGAGCAATATTATAAAAAACATTGTGGATGTTCTGGATGAAAGGGATATACATACGAGTATTTATTTGTTGATAAACCTTGGAACTTTCACAGAATGTAAAATTCATTTATCGTCACAAAAGGTATATAGTTATGAAGAACCGGAATATAATGTGGCTTTATAAATGGCGTTATCTAGTACCATAATGCTTATAACATAATAAAATCATCCTGAAAAAGGACAAACCAAATACTATTGTGTTTGGAGAGTATCACAGTAAGATAAAATATCCATCTTGTCTTAAAAAGGCTCTGTAAATACCATACATTTAGACTTTTGTTAGTCGCCATAACTAAATTAAAGTTACAGAATAATATGTATCAGGCATATTGGTAGATTGGGTGGATTTAATAAAAATATTCCCTATTCTAATCTTTTGACAGATCAGTAGGGGCAATATAGAGACTAGTTGGTATTAGAACCTCAGTAATAATGTAAAAAAAATGAGGTTGCAGCCAAAGAAGTGGAGGCTCACGGCCGTTGTGAGAAATATTACAAATTGCAACACTGCTAAGGTATCAATCAAGTGTGCCCTTAACTTAAGGTTCAGCTTTCACTATAAATATAATTCATATAAAATAACCTAAATTTAAATTTTATAATTATAATTATAATCACTGTATACTATTGTAAAAATATACAAATGTATACAATGATTATAAGTGCCAGACTAAAGTTGTTCAAGTGTAATAAAAATAGCGTGTACATTATTTAATGTATAAATTATACCGCTTGTGCTAATTATTATTACCATTTTGTTTATAAAAAACTGTGTGTACTAAAATTAATTATGTATAAATAACGACTGTTTAAAAGTTTATGTACTTTATAGGTAAAGTTATAATTTATAAACTCATAATTTCAACCAAAATATTAATTTTAACTAAAATTAAATATTATCATTAAATACACAGGAATTTTAATTGATGATGAACGGAAAGCAGGGTTCTCTGCGAATATTAGTTTTCATTTAATTTTATTACAGCTTTGTGTGTGAGACATATGGATATATTGAACTTAATCTATTAAGTAAAACAATATGAATAATATATTAAGGATTCATTACACTGGAAAAGGTATAAATAAATAATCGTTGTGTCCGTGTTATGCTTTTGTGATTAGTAAATAGTGTAATGAGTCTTTGAACAATGTCTATAGAGAGTAATTTACAATTTAGAAGGAAATAGATGAAATAGTATCTATGATGTATCCTGCAATAGTAAATAATAGTTCATGAACAAATATTCGGTTGTGTCAACAGAAGGTTTTGTAAACACAATTTGAATACCCAAATTTCTAGAATCGTACGTATACACGTTGTATGAATATGTGTAGTTAGATTTAGAAAAGTGTTGATAATGTCAGCTGCAAGGTTTTCGTTAGTCTTCCAAGAAGTGGAGGTTGACTGAACAAAATGATGAGCCAAATGTTAACAGAGTTCATTAATGTTACGTGGAATCGAAAATAATATTTATAGTTCTAGCGTCCTAATGCTAAGGTGAGTTTTTTTAAACGTATGTAAATTTAATTAAAAAAAATTAATAAATTTTACCAAAATCATGAAAAAAGGGTACTTATAAAATATATTTAACGAAATAGTGAAAATTTGTACATTTTGCTAAGCTCTTAAAGACTAATGAAATAAATTAAAGGAAACGATAAAAAATTAAATCATTCATACCCTATTTTACTTTTTAGTAAATATGAAAAAATGCGAAAGATTTTAAAATTAGTTGTTTAATAATGTTAATTTTGTATTCATCGGTAAACATGTTTCATAAAAGAAATGATTAATTAATGTAGATTCTCGAAAGCGCGGGCCGAAAAGAACTACGCATATAGTGAACTACCCAGAAAGGCAGCAACAAACTCCTCAGTTCCCATGTACCTTTTGAGATGTAGCCAGGTTCAAAGTTTTTTGTCAGAGATTGAAGTCCAGCTGACCAACATCCCATATCTTTGATGATAATGATGATGAAATATAAATAATATAATTTTATTTATTGTACCTAACCAATATTGTTTTAACACATCATCTTATTTTGTTTCAGCCCTTTGCAGAGGGCTTCATTGTTATACTAATATTTAATACAGTAGTAATTGTGTATTTATTTATTGAAGTTATTTCTGCTTGAAATTGTTTAAAATACTAAAATAGGTACTCATCGCAACAGTTCGGAATATTAATGATATAAACTAATAAAAAATATTGTACTGCAAAATAATTATACTAATTAATATAATATGTATTTATTAAAATTAAACGCTTCAAATTTATGGTTCATAAAATAGGTATATTATACAATATTATTAACCGATTAAAAATCATTTTATGACAATAACATTTATGATATCAGTTGTAAAGTTACGTCAATTTAAAATTTTAACTTTTTAATTAATTTCAATTGAAAATAAGGCGAGATTTAGGACGGCGACAGGCATGATATATTTACAAAATGTATTAAATTAATATATTATTATTTATTTAAAGTATTTTTAAATTGTAATAATAGTACAAACTGTTTAACAATTATACATTCATAACTAGTTATACATTATTTAAATGACAACAGTATATTTTAGTATAAAAATACTGATATTATTAAATATTTCAACATCATATCGTATTATTATATTATATTTTTCTAGTAAGACATTCAGTGACAAACATAAATAATATATTGAGTGATTATTTTTCATTTAAACAATGTACTTAGGATAGTGGAGTTTGTTTAAAATATTGATAAACATTCTCATACATCATAAATAAAAAATACACTTACAGTACATTAAAATCATGTTGTAAATTAAATCAATATACATAAAATATAATTTGAGTCGTTTTTAATGCGTTTAGAGCCTAATTAACACATTTTAATACATTAAATAGATCTTGATGTTGATAAAGAACTGGACAGACACCAGTTAAATTAAAAATATATATAAAATCATATTGAATGTATAAAAGTTATGTAAATGCCAGTTAGATATTTGATGTAATTAGATGAATATACAAGCTTCATGAAACAAGAGGGATTTTAATAAAATTGATATGTGACGTCACGTGTGATTTTACTTTTACCTATTACTTTTTTCACTAAATGACTAGGCTATCCGTGCAGTTAAGTACTATATTCTTTTTTAGTAGAAATAGTATAGTGGGGACAAAATTTTATGTGAGTCACAAATTGTTGTCCTAACGTTGGCGTTCTTTATGTGCGTTCCATAAATGTTTATAAAGTTCACTGCGACAGGAACACCCATACTCAGAATTTTTTTACCTTATTTCGATGTTCCGATTTTCAAAAGTCCGAATTTCATAGTTCCTAAGAATTATAATGTCTATGATTAAAATTCACGAAATTAATTTTACCGAAAGTCGTAAATGCGATTTGTTGGTTTTCAGTTTTTTATAAGTTCGAAGAATCAAATGCTTGATGGGTTCTCGGTCCGAAAACGATATTCCGATTTTCAATACTTCGAATAAATTGCAAAAATTACAATTCTAATTCTGAATTAGTTAGTATAATATTCAGTTACACATATATTCAAAATCCATAAGTAACGATTAATGTAATTTAAAAACTTTGTTACTGTATTTTTTGTGTTGCGTGTCATCTACTGTTATTGAATTCTTTGGGTTAGGTAGAACAGTGGCGATAAACGCCAGATACTCTCTATTATTGGTGAATCATTTGAGTTAGATTAGTTAAAAACTGTGACAATAAAAGTGCAACGAGCGTACCGCGGGAGCGGCCGCCGTGCGCCATTGTTAGTGACTGGTGAATTTTAGACGTTTTTTTTAATTTATCGTTAAGTCGGACTTTTTGTTATTCAATCTATTGAAAACTCGGTATTTTGAGCACAGTAAATATAAACGTTAGAAGTATTGAAATTTTTGAATTATAATAATAGGATGAACATAGGATGAATGATAAATCGGAGTTGTTATATTCGAAATTTGGAAACATTCAGCATTATGATAATCGGTATTTTGAAATTCGTATTTGTGACTGACGGAAAAAAGTTTTTTGTATTTCTGCGACACAGGATGTAGTTCTAAAGCGGGATTTGTCTTTTTGAAAAAAATAATCTTGTGATAATAGTTATGAACATGTGTACAGATATAAATTTATGCCCTTATGTAGAACAGTTAAGTTGAAAGTGTGTTTTAGTAAACGAGTCCCCAACCCGTGATGCATAACGTACAAAGTGAATCTTCCTCCGAGTCTTTATGTCAAACTAGGGTGGAGGTCGGCTTTAAGTCTACTACGATACGGCTGAACTCTGATTTTTTACGAGGAGCGACTCCCAGCAGACCTCCACAACATGAGTAGGCAATATCGAAGTTCTGTAGAAAGACTGTTGTCGGACTTTTTAGGGCTTGTTCGTGCG